AGAACAGCGTGACAGCGGGAAGATGTCATTGGTGGGAAGGGTGCCGGTGGCGACAGTAGGGGGGTGCACGGGGCTAGAGAACCTAGAAGGTTAACAAAATCAATACCGGTGGATGGGAGAGCTGGTGGTCGGTCGGTCGGACTGCTGGGGGGCTAGGTCGGCCACTGACCTTTATCCAGGCCAACTGCATCATCCCCATTTCTACGCGCGCACGCACACAGGGGAGGTCGTCTATTTTCACGGTGAGCCATTTTCGTCGAATGAAAACAATCCGAGCGTGTGCATACAGCCTCCTACTGTTACTCCCGATGCCCGACCAGGGAAAGAGAAAGAAAGAGGAAACCGGGTCTCGACCTTTCACGCTTGATGGAATCGCGATCATCGATCTCGCCAATAAACTCTTTCCTCGACCAACCGCCACCTCTACTACTCCACCGATATTCACAAAAGGAACTACCGTTTCGCCAACTGTCTCTCGAAAAGTGAAAAATGCGGCGCGGATGATAATTCATTTCGAGAGGAAATAGTTTTCGATGCCCCGCCTCGAAGAGCAATCGAGAGGAGGATGTTGAAGAAAGGCGAGAGTGGGAGAGGGGAGGGAGGTATTATAAAAGACGGAAAGGTTGTTCCAATGAAATTCATTGCGCCTTCTCACGACGAACGAAATGCTGCTCTCTTGACATCGATATGCGGTGCATCTAATCGTCGAGTTTAAAAAGATCTTTATCATCCTCTATCGTCTCGATTCTCGACAATGGTTCGATTCTTTCTTAGAGATCGAATCGTGGATGCACGCATTTCTTCGCGTTATCAACCAATGGAATCGTTCCCCCACGAATACCAGCGATTAGCCTACTTAGGCGGGAGAAAAGTAGCGAGCGGAGTAACGCGTATCTGCGTCGTCGATCTGAAAATAACAAGAGCACGAAGGGCTGTTTTAGATTTTACGAGTGGCTCTTAAACGATCCAATGGGATTGTGTTTCGTCACGCAAAGCGCCACGAAAATACGCGATTCTACGTACAATTCCAATCGCTTGGCTTTTATTGCAAACCGCTCGAAATTTCACACTAATAGAACTCACACGTGGAGGATTCCGAAAATCATAGATTCTAATAACAATTCGCGACACTTGCGATTTAACGTTTCAGCAAACTCTCGAGGAGGAGTTCTCCAACCATGCACGCAGCTGTTACGCATATATATTCTCCTTTAAGACGAATCATTAGCCCACTTGGTTCCGTGGAACAAAGTTGGCGCGAATCTCCGCACGAGTTCCGTTGAACGTCACCTTTAACCATTAAGGAACGTCACGAAATTGAACTTCCGTGAACCGAATTGGAGCGCGGAGATACAACTTCTTCCCTCCTATATATAGGCTTTTCAATCCCTAATCTTAGCCAGTTAGAAACTTGATATTCCGTATTATTATTTCGATACTTTTCACCAATGATCACGAATCATGAAATAGCTTTACACGACTTGATCAATTTGAAAACATCTCGAATCGCAATTTTTTTTTTTTTTTTACCAATATCGATTATTAACTCGGTTAATAATCGAAGTTATTCCATTACTACGATATCGAAGTAATTTCGAAGACTCCGTTCTACAAACTTTGTAGCGAGAGGATCCGAACAATCATTGTACATAATTGAGTCAGCCAAGTAATACTCGTAAAACGCGAGAGAGTGTTGCTCTATCAACGGCTCAATAAACAAGCCGATATCTTCGAAGGCGAAACGAAGACTAACAAGATTTTATGAGAGTGACAATAAAATATAAAAATTGGTTACGTCGAATCAATTCGGGCAAAAGGATAAAAAAAGAAAGAAAGAAAGAAAGAAAGAAAGAAAAGAAAAAAGAAAGGATCGGGTGCAACGAGAGACGTATTTAGCATTTTTACTAGAGGGAATTAGCATGCTGGCGCGTTAGCGGCTACCGACTGTCGCGATTTAGGCCAATGAACGTCGATATCGATGATGGCGGTCGTCCTTGTCGAGCAATGTTGTCCTGTCGACGACTGAACCATCGTCCACATGACCCGCTTTTTTCCAAGATGTGGGACGGACTAGTAACGCGTGCTCTTCTCTCCACTGCTCTCTCTTTCATTTAGAAATCCATGCGTGCAACTACCACTCGATAGAAACTACTCTTCATTGACAGATTTCGCGACCAACCAATCCCGAGACTTTATCACCGATCCGCTTCGTGGATCACGAGCTTCCACGCAAACTATGTATGTATATAACGCATATCGAATAACCTAGCAACTCGCTAATATAAATTTAGAAGAAAGTAGTGATGATAATCTGTAATCTTGGAAAAATTCGTAGATCGATCTATTCTGATACCGATAAAAAATCGACCAATTTTTCCTTTTTTCACTTTTCGTTTATCGCAAATTATCTACCATAAATTTTGCTGCTCGAAGAAAACGTACGAATAAAATGTACAAACGAACGAAGAAATCTAGAGAAATGTCTGTGACGAAGTATTTTTTTCGCGAATCGAATACGTCTAATCGCGTATTCCTCGAAACGAAACGGCAAAATCGAAAGAACGATACACGGATCTATAACACGTATCAGTAGGAAGGTTCAGTGAACGGGACATCGTTCTACAATAATGATAAGGGCCTTGCATATGCAATATCAGATCGTGACTGTTAATAGAATAAGGTGACGGAAGGTCTTGTTCCACGCCGATGGGACAAATGAAAAGAAATGACGATCAAGATGAAGACAAATGATTCGCGGCACTAGACTCGATCTCCTAAAAGTAACAGAGACAAATCAGCAGAACGAATCGAACGTCTCGACAGAGCGTTGAGTTCACGTAAGTTCATAAACGCGCGAACGACGATCTCGTTTTGTTACAACCGATGCTTTTTCGTCGATGATTTCACTTCTTCTTTCCCCTATCGCGTCAATAATATCGCTCGATCGATTAATATCAATTTCCAAAATTCTTCGTATCATTGTCAAACGTTAAAATGGCAAATTTCTATTGCAAAAATTTAATTTTTCACCGATTCAGAATTTCCAATGTATAATTTTGATAGAGCGAGTTGATACGATGATTTGAATTTTCAACGTCGAAGATTAGAAAATTAGAAAGATTATCGCGATAGCAACGCGTGGTCGTGTTCACACGGAAGATCGACTGGTATTCTCGGCGGCTGTTTGGTTAACCTACGCGGAATTGCCGATTAGCCAATTCCACCCGATGCAAATGACGCGGGATCGTACGATCGCCACTTCCGACGTATTATGTAGATGTTCACGGGGCGAACGGAAATTTCGGTATAGAAAGCGTCGCGTCTCTTCCAACCCGTTTCGGCTTCGAGTATTTTGCGTTTCAAATCGCGGCCGTGATTCATTCCACGCGGGCAGAAACGCGCGCCTAGGTCGATACCAGAAACTTCGTGGAATTCTTGAATTTTTATAACGCGTCATGGTCAACGCCAACTTCCGTGAACCGATAGATCGGGACGTGAACGGCATTTTTCACAAAACGATCGACGATCGGGCAACACGTTGGCACTGTTTCTTCGTCTCGCCTCGTTTACGCGAATAATGTATTAACGATTGGTGGTGTTTGTGGAGAGAAACGTGTGCGGTAAGAAATCATCTGTTCCCTTGTTTTTCGCAAAATCACCCGTATTTTCATCTTTAAAACGCGTACAAGATACTCGCATTACGCGTTTCACGGCAGACATGGATTCGCTTCGAGATCAGAACGCATCGTAAGGATAAGTGATACGCCGTTTGTCGAGTACATATATACATATATATGTAAGTCTTATATGAATAGTACATATACGAGATCGCATTGATTCCATCGAGATAGGACACACACGGTGGTAAATGAAACCGCGAGTCCAGGACTGGACGAGTTCAACTGCCAATTAGATCGGACAATAACCTTTTATCAACGATGCCGAGGGTTTCAACTAAATTGCAACACTCGTGCGACGATAGATAGAGCAATTGTCTAACGTTGATCGATAAAATAATTTTAAAATTATTCGAGAAAAACTGGAACGATAGTGAAAGAGAAACGCGTTGATGCATTTAACGCGCATTCATCAGTTAATTACGTGAAAAAATTATTAAGTTACTTTCCTGCATGTAACCGAGCAAACCACTAATTAGGCATATAACAGCACGCAACGCACACAAGAGAGTGACACGTATATGTTTGTTATGTGTGTGTGTGTGTACCAATATACTTGCTTTTCACGTACCGTTCTTTTACTCGCGGTTTAAGAGTAAAGGGTTAAGGCTACTTGTAAACTAGAGAAAACTATTAATAAAATATTCATGATAAAGAGAAGTAAAGTGAATGTAAATTTTAAAAAAAAACAAAAAAGAACGTATTCATTAA